CACACAGCGTCTCCCTGACATGCTGCATCAACACTACTGCTGTTCCTGAAACCACGCTTTCTTTCTTTGCGTGCACATTTGGGCGGTGTTATGCAAATCTTCGCACATCGTGACTAGGTATGTGGGGGCGTGTTAGAACGAGCCGTTTTAGGTAGGCGTGGTTAACTCTTAACTTTTATAAAGAATAGCTCTTTGGTTTTGAGACTTTAGTCTTTGCAACTTTACAGATCTTCTTTATGCACCAAGAGCTTGTAACACTCCAAAGAGAAAGGAAAAATTGAAATTGCATCATATGACCCCTTTAACTGTGTGTGTGCATGCGGCGCCGGCGCAATCACTTGAGTCTTTTCCTTCTAACAGAGGAAGCAACTACTCCTTTTAGTCATAAAGATAATCGGAATTGTAAAAAGTTTGCCTTTATTTGTGTACATTCACAATTAAAAACAAATCTTTGTGCTTTTGTAAAATAAGCCTAAAGAAAAATAGGATGCCGCTTTCTGCCGTCTGGTTTCCTTTCGCGCAGCACAAAAATGAACTGAAACTCTGAATACTAGGCTACTTGTTGCACAGTTTTTCTTTCATTTTCTTAATGTATTTAAGTAAAAATATATTTCTCGTATAGGCCTATTTATCGTTATATATATATATATATAGGCCTATAGCCTAACTTTATTATGTTTTTCTCCGCAGAAGCGCTGCTGGTGCGTGATGTGATATGAAGACCATGAATCCTCATGTTCTGTTGTTTGCTGCTTTTTGCGCATGTAAAATGAATCCCCGGGAAACAAATGTTAGTATTTTTAACGGGTCACAGACACTTATCCTTTCTAATTTAATTCAATTCGAATTTAAAATAATCTTGTCGGTTGTCAAGCGTCGGTTGTCGGTTAGGAAAAATAACCGAAATGAACATCCCTAGCGGATACCAATTTTGTTTTCTTTCAAGTTACCACCAAGGTGGCACTATATAACTTTAAGGACAATTAGGAAAATTCCTACAAAGCAGCAGCAAAACATTTCTTTTGGTCTTCCTTTTTCTGTCATCTATCATAATGTTAAATATCGTGCAATAATTTGGGTTTTTGCTCTCTCCTCAGAAAGAGGGGTAAGAAGGGGGAGAAGAACGGGAAAGGCCTCAGACATTTCTCGATGAAGGTTTGCGAAAAGGTCCAGCGGAAGGGTGTCACAACCTACAACGAGGTTGCTGATGAGCTTGTGGCTGAATTCAGCTCTGGTGATAATCATATCTCCCCTAATGATGCGGTAAGCCTCTTCCTGTGGCTAGGCATTGATCCAGAGCTTTGTTTGTTGAGTAGAGAAGAAGTGCAGCTCTTTAAACTGATTAAAGAGTTGATCATTCACATGTATCTTAAAATGAATAGTGCTTCACTTTCTTTGTTTGTCCCTATTCAGCATGTGTATGACCAGAAGAACATTCGACGGCGTGTGTACGATGCACTCAATGTGCTGATGGCCATGAACATCATCTCCAAAGAGAAGAAAGAGATCAAATGGATTGGCCTGCCTACAAATTCTGCTCAGGAGTGCCAGAACCTGGAGGTGAGTGTACTGATCCTTTATTTCATTAACTTTTTAATTTTCTATTAGACAATTAGTAGAGCAACTACTTGTGTTTAACTGATTGTGTTTTAAGGTGGAGAGGCAAAGACGTTTGGAGAGAATCAAACAAAAACAGTCGCAACTTCAGGAACTCATTTTACAGGTCAGAAGCCGCTCTTATAAGAATTATTTTGGTGATGAACTTGTTTTAAAAAAAAGTTTCGATTGCAGCAAATTGCCTTCAAGAAGCTTGTACAGCGGAACCGCCAGAGAGAACAACAGACGAAAAGGCCCCCACTTGCCAACTCGGTCATTCACTTGCCATTTATTATCGTAAACACCAGCAAGAAAACAGTCATTGACTGCAGCATCTCCAATGACAAGTATGATATCAAAAGCCAGACCATTTAGGCTGTTGGTGGCATGACTCGCACAGCTTTTCTCATTACTTGTTTGTGATCAGGTTTGAGTACCTCTTCAACTTCGATAGCATGTTTGAGATTCATGATGACATAGAGGTGTTGAAGCGCATGGGCATGGCTTGTGGTCTCGAGGTGGGCAAGTGCTCTGCTGAGGACCTGAAGACTGCCAGAAGCTTGGTGCCCAAAGCACTGGAGCCCTATGTCACAGGTTAGTACCAGCTGGCGACCACATCAGAGTATATATCTGAAGTTTTGTGACTGTAAAGATCAAATGTTTAATTTGATGATTATTTTTGCATGCAGAAATGGCACAGGGACCTATCAGTAATGTCTACATGACAGGGGATTTTTCTGCTAATGGAGGCCGCTATCATGTTGGGAGGTGAGTTTCTGTTGTACACCTTTCAGTTGTTCATTAATAAAATGAATGGAGTTGTAAACGAGTAGCTATTGAATCAGGTTACGCTATGATAGTTCCTAGTCATACTACTACTATTCAAAAATTAGGTGCATTAAATTGATCAAAAGCGACAGTAAAGATTTAAATTGTTATAAAATATTTATATTTCGAATAAATTCTGTTCTTTCAAACTTTTTATTTATCAGAGAATCCTGGAAATAATAAAAGTTTTCCTCCATTTTCAACAATGATGATAGGAAATGTTTTTTGAGCAGCAAATCAGCATATTAGAATGTTTTCTCAAGGACCATGTGGCACCGAAGACTGGAAAAATTGCCACTGAAAATTCAGTTTTGCATCACAGGAAAAAATTGCATTTTAAAGGGGACATCGGATGCAAAATTCACTTTTACATGGTGTTTGCATATAAATGTGTCTTAGCAGTGTGTGGACACAACCACCCTACAATCATAATGCAGGTGTTTTGGAGTAGGATGTAAAAGTGAACATAAGAGTCGACATTTTCTCCCGACATCAGAGCCACTGAGGACACAGTGGATTAATTTTGTTTTTGAATTTTTTTTTTTTTTCTTTTGGAAACGTGTCACGGAATACACAAACGGAAGAGGAGGGTGGGGTGAGCAGTAGCTCATTATCATTTAAAGAGACATGGACCGAAACGGGTCTCTGTGAACAGCTGTTTTTGACAAGGTAAAAAGGGTGTTGTTTTACACGACCATTGAGGAATTTTAACCAAAGTATGTTAGACATTTCATGGAGACCCTAAAGAATCATACCAACTTGTGGAAAATGGGCATCCGATGTCCCCTTTAAAAATATATATTAAAATTGCGAGCATTTATTTTAAATTGTAATATTTCACAATATTACTGTTTTACTGTATTTTTGATCAAATAAATGCAGCTATACCCATTTGACCTTGGACCATAACCTGGACTGCTTTGACATTCCCATAAGTAACTTTCCTTCAAAGCAAGTTGAGTTGAATTAAATTATGACTAACTTTTTTAGAAGTTATGATAAATATAGTTTTCATATTGCTTTTTGACAGTGTGTGGAACTTTTTTCTCTTATAACTTTTTGAGCTTTATATGTGGTGTTTTATTTTACATATACATTTAGTCATTTAGCAGATGCTTTTATCCAAAGCGACTTACAAATGAGGACAATGGAAGCAATCAAAATCAACAAAAGAGCAATGATATGCAAGTGCTATAACAAGTCTCAGTTAGCTTAACGCAGTATTTCCAATAGGGTTGACAGGAGAATCTGGTGGTTCACCGTATCAAAAGCAGCAGACCGATCCAGCAAAATAAGTCTAGAAGATTTGGAAGCCGCTCTTGCCAGTCTTAGGGCTTCAACAACTGAAAGCAAGGCAGTCTCGGTCGAATGTCCACTTCTGAAACCAGACTGGTTGCTGTCGAGGAGGTTGTTCTGTGTGAGAAAGGCAGAGATTTTCAAGAAATACTTAACCCAAACTTAAAAATTTAAATTTTTCATGTTGTTCCAAAACTGGAATTTTTTTCCACAAAAGGTATTATGCAGAATATTCATGCAGTTCTTTTTTTTCATACAACACTAGTGAATTGAGACAGACACTTTGAAACTCCAAAAATGTTATGGTACCATAAAAGTAGTCTTATGAAGCCATCTGATAACTTTGTGTGAGGTGGAGGGAAAGAATTTCAGTGAATAATAAATAAAATGTTTGGCAACAGAACTCTCAAAAGACTTGAAATATAGCATGCATGCCCTATGGACTGGTTATGTGCCGTTTCATTTTTGGAGTATGATAGTCTTTCCCCATTCAATTTCTTTATATGTAAAAGAGTGGCAACATTTAGCTAAATTTCTCCTTTTGTGTTCCAACAAAGAAAGTAAGTCATACTTTCTTTTGGAATGACAGGTAAATAAAAAAATGAGTAGTATGTGTCTTGTATTTCAGCATGTTTCTCTTTCCTTTGTTTCTCTTACAGTGACGGTGGGGCAGACGGCACGATGGCCTCTAGTTCAAATGACTCCCACTACAGCGGCTCTCGGGTGGAGACTCCCGTCTCTTACATGGGCGATGACGACGATGATGAATTTGACGAAAACGATGACGAGGACTAAGCCCAGTTCTCGTTCAGCCTGTCCATCGTGCACAAGTTCTTCCAGCTGCCATATCTGAGGATTGATCAACCACATCGTTCTTTTTCCTCTTCTGCAACTCACCGTTTCTTTCACTCTCTGTCTGAGAAGGGCATTGAAGAACATGGGCTTTAATAGGATGAGTTGTTTTCATCCTCGTCTTTCTGAGCTCAGGACAAGCCACATCATCACAGGCTGTGCGCTTTACCTGCTGGGAATTATAGTTTTCAGCTGAAGGACTTTGCTGAAGTTTAGAGGTGTCACTTTATTTTCTGTCGCAGTGTTCCTACTGGATGTTATCCGCTCTGATCTGCGTGACCCTCTGGAACGTTCCCTCCTGAAGAAAACACCAGCCTTGCGTGCTGTTGGAAAATGTTGTGTGATCTCTGTGTGAAGTAGTTCTCTTCAGTTTTTGAATGATCTTTTTATTTTTTTTTTT